AGTACACTTTTTCCATTAGTATCATAGAATTTGGTAGGGTACACGTGCAAAGAAATACTTTCCTACGTGTATAATGGCACGCCTCCTTCATTCATTCGGGTCGGCTCGTAATCCTCATACTCGTGAAAAAGTACATTTGCTTCCGAATGGAAGCATTGATCGATTTATACTTTTCTAGTGTTGCTCAGAAATTATGTAGAATGGACTAAAACGTTAGAATATGAAGTTTGACTACCATGCTTGTACACGGAGAACAATATTCAATAAACTACGGAACATTTGTTCGCTTATCGATTACAAAAGGGACTAAGAAAATTAACTTGACGATATCGGAATTCTTCACTGAAAATTGAAACAAAAATTAGGTAAAGTTGTGGGAAGATTTTGGAATAGTTTCGCAAAATTTTCCCTATCCACTTTTCACTCCGGAATTACAGCAAAGATACGCCATTTTTATTTAATATTTGTTTCCCTGCATGTTGTAGTGCGCATTCAGTCTTTACTTCTTGAAATTAAGAAATTTACCGAGCGAAATCGAAAGAGTCCAATTAACCGTGCGGAAATGAAATATATACCTACAATTATATTTAGAATATTATCTCGTTTACAGAACTTTTGGCCGGAAATATACCTGAGGTAGATATTCTTAATGGACATATATGTGCCCACTTATATATCTAGCATATATTCGTCATACAACATTTTTAACCGAAATATAAGTGAATATAAGTGAGTAGAGTTTATAATTTCCGAATTTAGCAGAAATTTATTTTTAAACTTCAGATTGAATTTACAAACACAAAGGTATGAATGTCAATACCACTAGTAGAAGGTTCGTTGCCGACTTATTCGTTTTTCAGTAGTCTGTATATTATACACATAAAAGTGCAAACAAAATTGACGAAGAAACTATTCAGTAAAAAAAATCACAAAAAAATCTGCAAGTAACTTTTTTATAGGTCGCATAAAGGCCTATCGATTGTATCGTCTATCAGCGTCATCGTGTCAACCATTTGAGAAAAATCATTCATAAAACCTGTAGAATTTTTGGGAATTTCCTCAAGTACAAAATTCACTCTCTTTTTGAGTTTTTATATTTTTGTCTTTGGAAAGACATTCTATGGTTTTATTGCAATACGGCCTGAAAATAAGAAAAGGGGAAAACTCCATACCGAATATTGTAGTTTGCGGACAAAAACTTACGTTTATTATTGCCTTTCTTGAAGTAAAATTTTGCGACCAGCAATGATGAAGGGAGAAGAAAAGACCCCTTCTTGGGGGTGGTAATTTTATGGCCCCAAAGGTCCTAAAATAAGGCCCAAGTAGTCGTGCAGTGACTTAGTCTTTCTTGATAATCCCTAATCAATGTAACTGAGTAAAAATTTTCTTTACCCAAGAATATTTACTAATCACAAGAAAATATATTTGGCATTAGTAAGTGTTACGGGAGCATTTAAACAGTGATCGCCAGATTTACTGGTGGGAAGAAAATATTCTTGGCACAAATAATTTTTTTTGTCAGCGTACGTCTTCGCTAAAAGAGAGTCAGAAATTATTCCTAAAGAATAAATGGTGTAAGTGAAAATACAAGTTGAAGAGTTCTTTATTTTCAATCCCATAATCCAATAAAATTAAAATAAAAACAATGGGATGCAAATAAAAACAAAGACGTCTTTTTGTTTTTTTCTGGATAATGTGGAGAGCTCGTATACTATTTAGTTTCAATGTCTAATTCGCTATGAATGAAACGAAGAGCCATTCATTGCGATATCAATTATCTCAATAACATCATTAAGTTTAGAAGATATCGTTAATGAAAATTTGTGGTCACACACATGCCAGCATCCGCACCCACGTAAGCCCACACGCACTGTAATCTTGACTGGAAAAAAATAATATTCAATAGTTCCTAACAAGACACGAAAATTCCCTTGTCTCATTTATTGGCGGAAAATAGTCTGTATGTTCAAGGGGGGCCTGAAAAAGGGGGGGGATGAGTGACTTGGGATAATTAGAAACTGATGCAATTCAAAGATATTTCCTCTGATAGATTTCATGTCATACAAAAGTCTTTAGAAAGAATATTTCTGGCCTTTTACTACAGATTCGAGGAGAAAAGTAAGGCTTGCCGAGTTGCAATACACGCGACAAAAGGAAAACAGGATGATTCTAATGCTGTAAAAAAGAGTTCGCCCTCTTTTGGAGAATGAAGTTCACGGCAAGATATATAAATGAGAAAAACAGCGGTAAGCTCGAGGAACCGAGGGGCTACTTACTCCCGAATTGAGTGACACCACGACTTCATCTTGAAGTCGACTTCAGATGAATTCAGTCATAATTACGGTGATTGCAAGGGGGGCGTGATTTCAGTGACTTCAAACTTCAGAATCAATGATTCCGCGATTCAATGACTTCAAATGACTTCATTTGATTTCAATTTGGTAGTCAACGATTATAGTTAAATAGATGTAATCGAAATAACAACAAATATAATTCGAGAGAATAATGAGACAATTATTCTAATTAAACTCTTAATTAACACACTCGAGTTTTTGGTTCTGACGCAATGCCTAAGGCTCGTCGATTTCGCGAGGTTTAGGCGAATAAGTCAATTTCCGAAAAAATATTGGTAGATTTTGTTTTGTTCTGCTAAGCGTTTAGAAAGGATTTCTACATAAAACTATAACTATATTCAAGACAAAGGGATATATGATTCTACTAACGACAAGCTACACGGGAAGATTTTAATAAGAAAAATTACGATGTGAAAATCATAATCGCGGACGAAATCGCGAATTCCGGGAAATATACGTTATTTTTTTTTGGAAATTGGGACTTTGATTTTTTTTAATACATTTCTCTATCCCAACATCACGAATTGAAATGAAAATTTCGATGTACATATTTTTTAAAAATGTTTTTAGCATCTGAATAATTTGTCAATGGAATAGGAGAGAATATAATTACTTTCTCAAATTTTACGTTTCAAATTTGATTTATTTTTTCCGATAGCGAAAATAAATTGAATCCTATGTTCATTTCATTAAGTTGCAGTAAGAAAGTAAAATAAATCCATGTTTTTATCAGTTATTCAGGAAAAGAATAACTTAAATTTTCAATTAACCGGAATTGATAATTTATTGACAATTTTTGTTTTTTACGGAAAACGAGAGAAAAAATATTTACAGCCAAGATATTAACTGTTGCAGCGCCCTTGGATTTTTACATGCGAAATTTTCATTTTTACGATGTGAACTCACAAAATATCAAAGCAGCGAGTGATGTTTACAAATCGGGTATAAGGAAATAAACAGAAGGCTCCATGTTCGCGTTTTTTGTTTCATTGTTTCCCTTCATTATCGACTCATTATTTTCACGATGTGAAATTGGTCTTTATCGCGGCGAATGCTCACATATGTTTCTGACATTTTTAGGTTTTTTTGGAACGGAATTTGCATTTTTAATATTTTATGATGGCACAATTCTTTGGAATCGACTTCATTTTTCCTCCAACACAATTGGAAATTTTTTTCATTAATGTAATAAAAAACAAAGGAAGTGAGTTGGAGCTATTCTTTTTATTTTCAAATTACGATTGACAATAGTAAAATGGCCAAATCCTTCATTATGGTCCACCGTTCTAATTCTACCCATGCAATTTTACGATTCAAAAATCGTAAAATTAACTAAACAAATCGTTCCGTGTATTTCAGTGCTTTCAATTGATTTCAGAAATCACTTCAAAATCGACTTCGTCGATTGAAATCACCTGATTTCAGTGACTTCTGTTAATTTCAAATTGATTTCACTTCAAGTGACACCATGATTTCAAGACTGGGTATCCCCTCAGAAGTAACCTGGAGAATTTGACAAAAAGTATAAGAGGTTCACGGTTCGGAGGAGTCAGTGGGCAGGAAGTACTTGTTGAGGCGGTGGGAATAGAAAAAAGGGTACTCACTGTTGATGACGGCCATAACTTCTTCTTGCCTTTTCGATTTTCTTCTCTTTTTCCTCAATTTTATTCTTTTTTTATTACCAGGATATCTGATTGTCTCTTTTCTTATTCTACTCCCTTCAATTTTTCAGTCCTGGAACTTAGCACGCGATCCCCTTCCAAATCCGCGTTATGGCCGCTAGTCACTCACGCTCCGTTTTTTGTGATTTCGTTTGTTATTACGTTATTGTGATTATTTTGTTATTACGTCTTCTTCCGGTCATCCTTATTTGAGCTAGGTGGGGTCAATCTGGTGAGAGATTTATTTTGTTCGTAGCATATAAGAATAGGTTCCCCACGGTGGCGTAAAAATTATCCTAATTCTAATACTAATTGTGCGCGTCAAAAATCTATCTCCACACAGCACACATACATATATGACTGTCAAAGAGAAGAAGTGTTGGGAAGACCTTGAAACAACGCAATTTCATTTCAAATTTTGAAATTGATTACTATAACTCCCCTATCGCCAATCGACCGTTCAAAAAACAAGTGCATGTGAACGAATCTATGAATAACGGATTTCATTGATATCTCTTGAACGATCAATGATTCTACGAACTGTACAGTTACAATAGAATACGCAACAAGTGCGGAATGAATTTCTTGGCTTATGGGAGGGTTGTAACACAAGCCGAAGGCGAGTTTTATAATCCCACGAGTCAAAACATCCATAACGCTCGTGTTTCGTACGCTATTTTATTCCATTGGGCCCGTAATCCCTGATTACGAGCACCTATGACATAAAGTTTATTTTTAATATCATCAACTTAACTGAGAAACCACCAATTTTCCCAAGAGTTGTGACTTTGAATCTCTTCAATATTAGCCATTGCATTCCCCCACCACCATTATAGATCATACCTAATATACTCTACAAATGCCATCGCTCTTATACTCACTCAAACTTGAGTAAGAAGGATCAGAAAATCGAGGTCTCTATATTAATTATTTTCATTACATCAGCATTCATCACTAGTTATTCTTTGCTATTGTTTACTTGAAGGTGATCCTGTTGTTGCTGAAAGATGGTCAAGTGCTCTCGACGAGACTCTAGATGAGAAAAATGATGCTGAAATATTTAAGGCGGTTGTTGAGTCCATGAAACAATGGGAATTGCATAAGACTTCACGCAGAGTAAAGAGAGAAGCCTCCAGAGTATGCTACGAAGATGTCGGGTGTTTCGAGGACACTGGGCCTTTTAATTACCTAGAGATGTTACCATCACCTCCAAAAGAAGTAGGCACAAGGTAAACCTTACAGAGAATCCAGTTATTCACTGTTATGATTATCGTGTAAAAACTAGTAAAGTATTTTGAAAAGGGGAGGGAAGTAATTTTTGATTACAGAGTTATACGCTATTTTTCGTTCACATTCTCAGTTTGAGGTATTCTATACTAAGCCGAACAATCAATTTTTATAATCTGTGGAGTTCATAAAATGTTTTTGGAATTTTTTAAGTTGTTCCATTGCCCAATAAGAGTTCCATTACTCCAGATGTTTCCCACGAATTATGATAAATGCAGCGGACACATCAACTTCTACCACCACAGTGAGAAATTTAATCAGATTACTTTGCACGTCGTTTCTTTCACCCATACGATGCAACGCAATACGTTTAAACACATTTCGTTTTTTAACCGAACCAGGTTAAGCACGCCGACTATATTCGATTCCAAACCCCTTTTGCAGTTCTTAATTCTTTAACCAGCGGTAATTCAGATGGGCATATAACCATGATCAAATCTGACTTGGCTTTTCACGACGTAATTATCTACTAGTTGCTTGCTACGTCAGTTTATTCTAGTTTGAGTGCCTGCATTGGATATTCTGTCCCATTAAACCCTGGTAAGAGCAGTAAAGATGTCTAATTAAATAAGCTTTCTTATCTATGCCCTTTCTTTAAAATTAAATGTGATTGTACGTATGTTATGTTATGTTATATTTGAAACGAGCATGGGGGATGCCCGTCCCGATCCCCAAGAAAATCTAGAGCGAGAGAGTAAGCGAGGAATTAATTTTAGGAATGGGGAATTAATTCAAATTTGAATTAATTCCCACACGTAAAGCTCCACCAGCAATAGGGCAGGCAGATCCACCAATCGACGACCGATCGATTGGTAGGCGTGATTTGAGGGATCAGTGTCACGTGACACTGACCTCGGGAAATCACTTACGCATTGACCGTGAAGGGATACACACGTGAGTGACGAGTGAGAAAAAAAGAAGAGCGAAGGATCCACCAGCACGTCCCTTGCGCCCAGAGAACGAAGAAAACAACATCGAGGAGATTAACCGTGAGTTCACGGGTTTAATGAACTTCTTTTCCCCTTTTTGGCGCCTCTCCAATGTTAAATTGGCGGTGGTAAATTGTTCCGAGCCACGGAAATGGTGCCGGTCGTCTCCCCCAGGTTTGGGTGGTTTTTGGGAGGATATTGGGGAGTTTTCCGAATGAAATCGGTGTGGGTTTTTCTCCAGTGCGGTTGGTGGCATAAAAGGATGAAGGTCATGAGGTGTCACGGGTACATTGAGGGAGGAATCAGTGTTGGGGAATATTCAACAGCCAAAAAGCTAGTGGTTCTCCCTCATGATGCCATCAAGGTGCCCAGTGAGTGGAACGCGCAACAAGTGTGGGTCACGCAGCGAAAATCCACGAGGACATTAATTAGTCTAACGCGTTTGAGGGCGCCTCCTTAAGCATCAAATTTTGAGGGGTTATTAGGTCTAGTCTCTCAACTATTATCGGTTAGGGGTTCCCGAAATCTGCCCCGTGGATTTCGAGTTATGGAGTTTCAGAGGAGCGTTGAATTTTGGCAGTGGAATTGTCCTTGACGCGAGCAGAGCCACGATGCGTAGTACTCTCTCTCGCTCCTCCCCCCATTTGGGATGATTGCGATTGGGATGAATTTACATTTTCGAGTAATTAACTTAATACGGGAATCCTCGTACGTATGTATTGCGCCATCGTATTATTTCTTGTCAGTAATAATTTTTTCTATTGTACTTGATTTCGCATTTCAATGGCGAAATACGTAAGGACAATTTTCGAGTTATTTTCATTTGGTTTTCTTGCCTGTTGCCCAATTTCTCCAATAACCCTGTTCCCGTCTACGATCCACCCCTGTCTACGTACCTCGCACATTGAGCGACCCGTCACATTTCTCCTAAAACCTGGTTATCCTTCTCGTACCCTTTTGGTTCACACGTTTCCGGTTGTAATTAATCATTCGGATTGGAGATTTTTTGGATTTGGTGGCATGATTTTCAATGTCACGAATCTCGAGGGTAATCAAGTTTTAGAGTTACTAGTTTTTCCGGGTTGGTAATTCCAGCTAAAAATTACCTGGCACCCAAGTTTTAAATTTTAGCAGGTATCATTAGTATCCACGACGAAAATGTCACGTTACATGTTCTACAAAGCCAATGCGACCGGTGAGTCTAGGTTCTTTGTGCTCGGGCCTCACGGCAGGGCTGACTTATTAGAGTGAGACAGAGAAGTCCCAGATAGTATTGGAGATAATCTCCTTTATGTACCATGAGCATAGTGACGTCACCCGAAGGTGTTATATCTGGCACTCTCCAGCGCGTAATCGTATGGAAGGGTCGATACGCTTCCATCTTGCATCGTGGGCACGTGGCATCTATCGTCAGTCGTAGTCTTTATATTCCTCTGTGTGTAAGTAATCAGTAACTGCACTGACTACTGCTCTTCGGGTTGTGCGGCCAAGCTGCGATAGTGCTCTGCCCTCAGCTTCAGAGGATTCTTTGAGCATAATTTTGGTATGCTTAAAACCCTCATAGCTGCTTTAAATGAACTTGAATTGATCGAGTGTCCAGTTATGGACGTGCGCGTTCATTAGGCGGGGTGTGATGTCTACACGATGTGTCGTACTCATCGATGGCAAGAGGGCTCCACCGCGCGCCTGTCTATCTGCTTCAAGGTTATTGCAGTGTCCTGAGTATCGAGGTATCCTGGGTTTTGGCCTTGTCCGTATACCAGAAGAGTCCTTTCAGTCAAGGAGTCGTGCTACCATCTTCCCAGGTGGTCAGTGATAGAAGAATGGGATAATGGGGTGGCCACCAGACAATCGCAGCGTAGTTAAGTTGCAGAATCTCCAAGGCTGTATAGACACACGTCGCCTTTCGAACATTGAGCCCCCAGGTTTCCCCGAACAGTTTGCCACAGCGATGAATATGTCGTTCGTGTCGGCATAGGTACTCACTTTTACCTGATCGAATTGCTCTGTCAATCTAGTTGTTACCATAATCCAGAGTAATAGCATAGTCCTAGATGTAGAGGGGCCAGAACTGGCGGTAACGATTCCTGTCCGCAACATAGTATGAATCAGTTGTACATGTGATTGATCCCGAAATTCCTAGCTGCATCACATATCACCTCGAAGGATGTACTATCAAATGCACCTTGGATATCTATAAGAGTCGCCAGTACTGATTCGTTTCTGAAGAACACCCGCTCATTGTCTCCTATGAGTTCAGGTAGGGCAGTTTCCGTGGACTTCTCGGACTGGTATGCGGGGCGTGAGGGCAGAATCGGTTTGACCTTCAGGACACCCTCTCTCAGGTGCCTATGCATTCGTCTTTCCAAAGTCTTTATCAGAAAGGAGATAAAACTGATCGGCCTCGACGCTTTGTCGCTGGCGTAGCTACATTTACTCGGCTTTGGGATGTATAAGACTCAAACTTCTCCCCGTTGCAGCCGGGTGCGACTGTGTTGCGATGCATGCCCTGTACAGGTGTACGAGCCCGTCACCAGTGCCTCTTCTCCATGCTGTAGCATAGCTGGAGAGATGTTATTATATCCCGGGCTTTTATAGCTGTCAAAAGTAATTATCGCCCATTCGACTTTTGCGGCATCTACTACGTTGAATGTAATACTCGACCTGTCCATGCTTCGGTTAGGGATGTGGGTTCTTTCTGCTGTCGTAGGCGAAGTGCGGGAAGTATACAATTGGTAGGTGCTCCAAAATCTCTTTCTGGTCTTTGGCGAGACGGCTATTGGGTCGCTCGATGCCGTCCGCACTCCGGAGTTTGCCAGAAGTGAAGATTCTCCGCATTTTAGCTATAAGGAAGAATTTGTCCACTTCTTTTTAGAATTTCCCCCATGCTGTCTTCTTTGAGTCAAAAATGCATTTCTTTACTTCTTCAGTATCTCCGTATAGATAATCCAATCGGAGATGTCCTTTGTCTTGTAGGCTCTCTTGAATAGCTTTTTGATTCAGACCTGAGCTTAGTTAGCTTCTCAGTCTACCCTTATTAGATGATCAAACCGACGCAAAGTGAGCCAAAGCAAATTTCAATGGTTTATGACAAATTACGAAATTCTGATTGGAATAAATAAATGAATTGTTCCTGTAGGCCTAACAGCCTCCTCATCTTCTGAAAGATTCGTATAATAAATTAACGCTTCATCAAACACACGTGGAAAATGAATGTCGAAATTTAAGTCCCTACATAGTTGAAACGGAAATTTTCTCAATGAATTAATCAGAAAAAACATTCACAAATAGGAACGAACATGTGATTGATTATCTCGTCCTGCGGGAAATATTACAATTCGTTTTTAACTGACTCTATCGGTGATCAATTAGGTTAGTAGATATTAAAAAAGCGAAAAATTGGAGGTTGAAAATACATTGCATTTTAAATATAATAGAAAAAATTGTTAATTAAATTTCGTATTTGTTCTTTTTTACGTCTTTCTGTGACAAATTCTAATTACTTGCATCTCTATTTGGATCTCTGAGCTTGGAAGTCCAAAACGGCTAAGTAATTATTATTATAGATTTCTTCTATCGAAATATTCTATCGAAATAAAAATATTTTAAGAAAGTTTTAAGAAGTGTGCGGGCTTCCTCAGCTACGGGATGTAGAGAGTGGCATAAGCATTTCATAACAACAAGATTGGGAATGACATTTCGAAGTATTCTTGTTACTGAATGATAACCCCCAAGGTTGGTATTTGCTCCATCAACTCTCAGACACACAAGCTTGTCTATCTCTGCCAGGATGAAGAGCGATATCTCGATTGAGAGGCCGCTTTCAGATGGACTGAAGATGCTGAAGATAGCTGGTGGACCACTCACTCCAGAAGCTGAGCCTTCTGCCGGATAAGCTGCCAACGAGTCAAACGTGAGATGTTCAAGTGTTCCAGAGTGGGGTCAGGCAGTGCTGTCGGAGCGTTTTTAATTAGAAAGTATCCTGGAGTGAGCGCTGCAACGCCATCAGGATTCTCCGCGAGCGGTTTAAGTGTATGAGAACATTGAATGGTTAGTTCCTCGAATGTGAGTAAGTCTTTTCTTATTGTCCGTTTGAGATAGAACTTGACCGATTTGAATGTTGCTTCCCACTTTCCTCCAAAGTAAGGAGCGCCTAGTGGATTTGAACGCCATTAAGAAGAGCCTTTTCAGTTTTTTTTCGGCTCCGAGGAAATTTATCCCACAATCTGAGAACAAATTACTACAGAGACCGCGCCGAGCAACCAAACGACGATACGTTGACCTGAGGCAGTCAGATGAGTAATCTCAAACCATTTCGAGATGAACTGAGGACCTAGCCATACAAATGAAGATCGCGATTCATCCTTTATATGATTATTAATAGTGGGCACGTTTTTTCCATGAGCGAAGCGATGCTGACCCGGCATAATCAATTCCTATGTTGAGAAATGCACGGCCAGATGTGAGACGAGCAACTGGTAGCTGACCTATGAGCTGCTCAATTTTTAAGCGTCGCTGTCTTGTACATCGACAGTACTGTAGAATGAATGATTTTACTGTTGCTCTTCCACCAATAATCCATTGAGATGGTCTAAGCTGACCAAGCGTAAGTTCCACCATAAAGAGTCCTGAGATGAGCTTTCTGTATGATGAGTTAATCAAGTTGAGACTCTTTCATAGTGATAGCAGATAGTGCTGTTATTGTCGAGCTCAGCAAATTTGAGACGTCCAACATAGAATTCTTCGGTAAGCCGATGCAGCTTCTTGGTGTTGACAAATCTGGATTGAATCTGCCAGAGGAAATAACTCAGACATTTTTAGGTTCCTGGATCCCAACTTGATCCTAAATGTAGCCCAAGTATACCGAAAGTGGCGTACCGTAAGCGGCATGTATGAAAGCTACATCTCTTTCAAAGCTAGACATCGATTTGGGTCGCCTGAATATACTCGCCAGTTCGCTATGCCTGCAGTTTCTATGAGATTTTCCTATGTAGCGCTGTATACCCATCAGTCTGAATGATATTCGGCGGTGATCAGACACCGTCTCCGCTGCATCCACCTGCCATTCATTTATACTTTTTGCGAGTTTTTTGTCGCTGAGTGGGATGTAAATGACTTGATGACGCATCACATTTGTGAACATAAATCTGAAGCCCATGTTAAGAACCGCCAGGTTAATAGTCATCAGGTAGCGTAGCAGATTCAAGACTCTTTTGTCCATGCCGCGCTGCTCCACATGATGTGCTGCGTATTTGAGTCGTTACCGACTAGGATGCGAGGATTTCTCTGCCGGCAGTGTTCAACTATTCTGATCACATAGTTGCTGGGTAGTGGTTCAACAAGGTCATGAGGAAGATATGCCGAGCATACGATGACGCATTTCTTGTAATCGTACTCCAGTAAGTTGACTGAAATAACATCCAGCTCCGGTGTGCAAAAGAGCTTTTGCCCAGGTGCCCAGCGTGGTTGTCCCTACTTCTAATACACCTGTTGATCAGTTCCCATCCTGGTAGTTAAGTGCCCCTACCGAGCCCTAAACGAGCCAAGGCATTAGAACCATACCTATCTGCCGCATATCGAGATAGCGACTTAGAGGTACAGAAACTGCCTACAGTGGTGCATGTTCATACGGGGTACTCGGATGCCTTTCATGGATGTCGCCGTGGAACTACTTTCCTTCCGCCAGTTCTCCTGGATGATCTGTTTCCTCTCCCTGGTCGCCCGCCCCCCCTAGAACTCTAGCGCTTGCCAGTTGGAAGTCCTGACTTTCCCCTTGGCGTCTCCTTTTCCGCGTACAGCGCTTCCTCTGGAGCTTCGGTATATTACCCTTACCGGAGCGCACCGTTGGAACTACCAACGGAACTTCTGGGCTTGGAAATTGTGGGTCCGGTAATTGCGAGTACAAGCGGTCTTAGAGAAATCGGAGAGTCCACTGCCTCGATATCCACCGTTGTTGCTCTCACCGTTGGGGTCTCCGAGACTGTCTTTTATGGCAGACTGGTGGTGCACAAAAGAATGGCGTTCTTCTCCTCCAATGGGGAGACTGAGCTGAACGCGGTATCGTCTGCTATCCCGTCATCACTCTGAGCCTTCTTGCCGAAGCCGTTATAGCTAGCCCTGTTAAGCCCATAATATCAGGCGAGGTCGCAGCACCGCAGGCCTTGCAGGACACTTCTCATCCATGCCTACTACGAGGTGAATGTGTCTGGTGACTGCTTTCTGGTTTCAAATTTTCCAGCTCTGTGTCTGGAGTTTGGGATTCTGAGCTTTGAGCAGCTTCAGGATGAATTCATCGTCTCAGTTGTTGTCAAACAGGACCATGGTCACCCTGGTGAGCTTGGGCACCTTCTCTTTTTTCTTCAGAGTAACGTCAGTTCCTTCAGTAGGCACATGCCTAGAGACCGTCACTTCTAACCAAGTCCTGGTGACGGGGTCGACACAGATGACCCAGAGAATCTCATATGATGTCACCATCGAAGACAGGCGCCTGCTGACTGCCTCTCCAAGGATGGGGGCCAATGGGGCCAACTTGCCTTCGGTTCCTCTTTTTGGGCTGCCTACTCTCCGGACGGATGTTGTCAGGTATTTTGAGTCTCTTTAAACCCTAATCTTCAAAGAAGCAGAGTGCGAGCCCGTGGTGGCCTGTCTAGCCTTCCGAGCCCGGAAGAGCTGTTTTCACCAAAGAGCCCCACTGAATAGTTCAGAGTTGGCGAGGTTTCCTGGAGTGACCTGAGTGGCCAGCTGGGGACCACACCAATGGTCCCTGCTGGCTGCCATGATAATGTCTTTGGAGGAGTCCTCAAGCGAAGTAGAGTTGAAATTGAGTTTGTTAAATTTCTTCATACAACTCTCACGAGTAAATCAGGAACTAAAAAATCAACCCCCACTGAGCCCAAGTACGGGGCCAAGGAATAAAAAACTATGGTTTCTTGATGCCCCAAAGGGTTGCTCGTGGCGCTGCTCATTCTCAGCACCTTTCAGCTCTCGAATGCGATTTTTCTTCATGACATGTGACATTGGGAGGATACCGTTATCCGCGGAAGGGTTTTCGTCCGTCTTCGATCGGAATCATCGGACACCGACCCTCTATAGTACTACCTGGGCACATTGCGCTCTCGGTGCTCATCTATCTCCCAACTCCATTTAAGCCAATTACTATAGACAGGTGTTCTATTGTATTGTGCAGGTAGTCGGATGGGTGGGACCAAAAACGCTTGGATCAGAGTGGGGATATCGTTACGTTAATCTATGCGCAAAAATTTTAATCTTGGAAAGATAAATATGAACATTTTTCCTGCCGTATTTGGCGTTATTAAAAAATATCAATTACTAATTTTCTTTTATATGAACTTCCGCATAAAATTCCGTTCAATAAATCACTCCGAATTGAATATTTTGACAGTAAATGAGTGGAAAAACACTGGTGAAAAGATTTTTCGATTTTTATTAACATTTTCTAAGCAATATTAAAAACGTGTAATTATGTTTCCTGCATTTCAGGAATTAAATGGTGAGAAAATGGAAGTTCTACTTAGATTTAAAAGATATTTTATCTTAAAAAAGCACAGAAACAAGAAATTTCAATTCCATCATTTCATGTCTTGTTGACTTTTTTCGTTACATTGATCTCACTGTTAAGCCTTTGAGAATTCATCCATTTCCACTGAACCACGAAAATGAATAATTACTGCAAGAAAAATCAAAATAATTACCTACAGAGAGTGACCGCGCAAAGATAATTGAAAAATGATCACAGATGAAAGAATTTAATGAGCAATCCTATTTATTTATTTTAATGAAATTCTATTGGATTCCTATGAAATTGCCTTTAGTGTTTGGCGGAACATTATTTACAATTTGTTCTAATAAAAATACAGATAAATGGGTGGTGCCAGATGGTATGACCCTAGTGGGTCTTTTACCAACCCTTTCCCAGTACCTACACGGTACCCCAACAAAATTCCCTACCCGCGCTTTCATCTAGCTACCTTATAACTAACTTCCACAGGCACTGGGTTCGTTTTCCGACGATGAAAAGTTTTCACCATCGGGACTCGAATCTGCGCTACCGGGACGCTTTGGTCATAGGGACAGCACGCTGACGCCTAGCCCAAGGACGTCCCTTCAATTCTTCTAATATGAATATTGAAAGAATAAATAGATTCATAAGACAAATTAACTTAATAGAATTTCTTCATACAAACCATTTGAGGGAAATTTCCCTGCCGAATTTTATACATAGTGTAAGGATTGTTGAAGAAAGACACAATAGAGTTAGTGATAAATAAATATGGCAGCTTATTAATTCTTCAAATACAGGAAGAAGTGTCTTGAGAAGGATCACTTTTTTAGACGGTCCAGGACAGAAGACAATCATAATCAAGGGCTTCCATCAGAACATTCGTAACGGGGATTATAATTCGAAGGGGGATACGTAACAATAATATGATATGCATACCTTAGCTATCCGCCGAAAAAAGCTGATAAAACATGTTCCATGTTTTTTTTAAAAGGGATAGTGAATCAGGAAAAATTAACTCCCCACTGAGAGGAAAGATCAATCCTATTTTTTTTTATTCAACTGCGCTATGAAAGAAATATATCTTCACATGGATTTTCATCAGTTTTGCTTTGATCGTTTTTCGGCTCGCATTAAAGACTTTTATGACAAAAATTGCCGTAGAATAGTGCAGAATATTTCTAACTAACTTTGAAATTTCGCTATGTGATCAAAGATTCGTATGATTGCAGATTCTTCGTCTATGGAACTCGAAAGGCACGGTCTGTACCCATGGAAGTAGCTGCCGATGACATGAGTGAAAAAGTAAATAATGCAATTGACCCAGAATTGACAACCAAAGTCATTGTTCATGGGTTTGGATCAGGCTGTGATCATATCTGGGTTTACGAGATGAGATCTGCTTTAATGTCGGTGCATGACTGTAATATTGGTACGTGGTATAGCGGTCATTCGATGAACTTATTCCTTCTTGTAATTTTTTTTTATGCGCCTAGTTGTTTCCAAGAAACATATGAAACAGTCTTAATTATATGTCATAAAATTGGATCTTTGACAAAAAGAAAAGCTGATGAAATCCTCGCAAACTCTTCCCTCCCATGCATTGATGGAAGAATTGTTTTGCTGTTCATAAGATGGGATAACATTGAGTAAAGGGCCCTATTGAATTAGGAGCAATTGAACACTCGTTAATAGTTACTAAACGATTCAGTTGAGTGTTGAGTGTTGACATGTCCCGCGAAATGGCCATTAGTTAATAGCTACTGAATCATTAATTGACCCAAACGAAACAGATTGTTAGCTCACGATTAATGACGATAATAATAATATTAAACGTGAAGTCGATTATATATCGTATCCGACCGATCCTCACGAGAAAGTGTCCAGTAAAAGAAACTTCATCGCATCCATACTCAGCTTATATTGCACTATTCCACGAATACGGGAATCGTATCGCATCCACTGCACTGGCCTGAAAGCAAAGGTCTCACCAACAGTATTGTCAGAAGGTTTTTCTTAGAACCGTTGACCAGGAGGGCCGAACAATCTAATTGCTCCTCGGAATTCATGACTGTCACTTCGTATTTAGATCCCATTTTCCTGATCATGTTGTAATAATCCGTCGGCACATAAATATATGTAGTCTTCTTCTTGGGACGCTCTATCGCCGCATGATCAGAATCACACTCGTTTCGAGTGTGTCCTCGGTAAAGAAATTTGTGATCAATAATTTTCTGACTGGGTTTCTTTTGCAGTGCATAGTGATACATCACGGGCAAAATTGAATTTTTATTCTGTCCAGCACAAGAATCCGACTATAAAATGACATGCTCCATTACATCGGGAAGAGACATTAGAAATTTGAAAATGCCTTAAGCGACTTCGTTGGCTCCTCTGGAAGCTATTCCTTAATGCCAGATTTAATTGTGGCTTTTACCATTAGTGCAATCATGGCAGGTCAAATTGAATGTCCAGAGTTGCCGAGAATAGAATATCTGTCGTGTAGGCAGGCTGGGGATTGGCAAGCATTGCTGGAGGTCAAATGTAGCCACAATTATTTTATTGTTACTATTTTTGGCAACTTGTTTATCAGTTTTTTTTCGCCTGATAAGGTGCAGATGCGATTTTTTCGTGAGCATCTCTTTGATTTTCGGCACGTTCTAATTCAGTCTTCGAAGTTTTGAGTTCCATCTGCAACCGATTACACGTTTTACAGGTGTCTGTTTTTGGTTGTTTCATCGATAAACCCAAATTATGGAACTCTCATTCATATGACCATCTCGACACTGGATTCGCAAAGTATTTCTCATTGTATAACTTATACATGGTAGCCAGATTTAAGTGAGATGCGAGAAATTTTTTGGAGGTCTTCTGCCGGGAATAATGAGATTTGTAGGCTGGAAAACTATTCAGATGGGCACGAATTTCAGAAAGCCTTCCATTTGATAAATTACGGGTCGATGAGTGATGTCCTCTCTTATCCTTAGACGGAATCCCAGCGACACCTCCTAATTTCTTCGTGACAACAACTTCGATAAATTTGTTAGAAATATTGAAAATGCGTTGGCAGCAACCTTTGCAGATTGAGACTGTTTTCCCGTTCACTGAGACTCACTTTTCTGGTAAGGTAATAAGCGTGAACACATTCACTGATCACTTTTCCGAGTATTCGTGCTCGCCGATCGCAGCGCCGCATGTTATCACCACGTTTACTAGTTAATTGCTGACACGCAATCACTGCGTTTACACATACGGGCAAGAGAAAACCTTGTCTTCAAATGATTTTAACATACTCTATGAGTAAATGATTATTCCACTTGACATGGTAATTCTTACCGTATAGAGTAATAGAAATTAGGTTGCTCCATAATAGCTAATACCATTCGACGATGGTAGAAATATTCATTATAGCACTCATGACGAATTGTTATATGGGACACTTTACCATTGTGAATATCGTCAATGCTACTATTCCCAAGTCGGTCTGTCTGCCATGTCATCGTAAGAACCACTAAACGTATAGTAGCTATTTTCTCTGTTCGACAAATTATTAAATCTGTTGAATATCAATCTCAATAAAATGATCTCATTTGTTTTACTTGAGTTAATGCCAAACTGTGTTCTAGAAATAATGATTTCTTATCTCTGAATCGTTCTATTAGTTTTCTCATTTTTTGACGTCTTATCATCTGTTATATTATTACTAGGTTGGAAAGTAATTTTTCCCATGCACTAATGGTAAACTATACCAGTCAACTATGGGCTCCTTTACTATAAATGTACTATAGTAAACGTTACCATGTGAAATTATATTTTTGAGTACGTCCATCGAGAGTCTCACCATCCCCTCTGATAACCGTTACTTCAGCATATTGTAGTTATTACTGTAACACAGTAATGATTATCAAAGGATAGTCATTCCTACTCGGCGTGACCATTCATATAGTTCTCTCTGGCCCTTTTGTTTGTGTACGCCACCTGTATTGTTTTCATGTTTGCATTACACGACAATATTGTTGCTCTTTTTTTTTATTAGTGGGTAAGTGTATTTCGAGGAGTAATTCATGTAGATAGACAAATTAATCAGCTATTCCCAATAAAGGTAGTGAAGAAATTTATTATATATATAAATCTAATCTATTAAACAATCATCAAAATTATTTACGAGATTGAAAATAACAGGTAATGTGCATATATATGGACTTACTCAAATTTCCAAATTTCTCTGAGCTGTTATTCCCCTTAATACCTGTTAAAAACAAATGAAAGAGCAAAATTGACTCGGGTTCAATCAGTTCTATACTTGGATGGAGTAGATCGGTCCAAGTCGACCTTTGGTGGGGCTCATACCATTGTGTTTCCGTCATGACCCCTGGGTCATGTTAAGTGCTGGTACGGCTTGAAACTTTTTGAAAAGTGCTGCACCAAGCATTGAATTATTGTAAATGCCTCATAACATTGTTATGACATTATTAACATTACTAGTAAATTAACTGCTTTTGAAAGGAAAGCGAAGGATAGGGTATCCATACAGCTACATGAGTAGCCAGAATAATGAGGGAGATAGTTACTCAGTTCCCACACAGAGAATATCTATTTACTGCACTTATATCTCAAATAGAAAAAATCCATGATATGGAAAAGTTGGAAACATGAGTCACCATATTAACATATTACCAAGTAAAGTATACTCCCATCAAGTATAAAATAATGTTGATTCAAGTATATTTTTTATTCGTGTATTTTGTGCCTTTTTCTCGGCTGTTTTCTAATGTCATGTTTAATTGCCTCAAGTTTGTGTGGACTGGAGTCCAGGTAGTGTTCTTCCGAATTATGTGAGAGCTGCCGCAAATACTCGTCTCGTAGGAAGGCAACTAGCGAAGCTGATTAGAGGACTTAATGTGTCTCTCGAGAAAGTCCACTTTATTGGATTTAGTCTGGGAGCTCACGTTGCGGGATTCGCTGGAGCAGAGCTGGGAAATGTATCGAGGATCACAGGTATGCTATTTTCATCGCATTTCTCAGCATATTAATAATCATTTCAAAGATGTTCTCTAGGCGCCCTTTTCACGGCTTGTGCTGAAGAACTTTGAGTACCTATTCCATTGAAATTGTTTTTCCAATAGTGCCAATTTCACTGATACTAACGGATGTCAGAAGTCGATTGATGAAGTCATGAAAATCTAATCCAAAAAAATTCAACCGCCCTCTACTAATGCCTTTTCATCAATTAAACATTCACATTCAATACGATTCATCTCAAGACTCTCTTCAAAATAAATGACTTTACAAATATTAACCCACGAAAGTGACAGGGGTGTTAACTTTACTATTGGGCAGTCACTGCTGATCGCCCGAATTTCTGCTTTTTTACATATCAAGCTTTCATTTGTTCAGAAAAAACTGGTTCTTATTATAGTAGAAATTATGATTATTGCTCTTTAATTTGAAAAAATGCAAACTTAACCACTATTATTTACCGTTAGGTAATTTACAGAGTAATTCGAATTTCGAAGGATGTTTTAAGTAAATACAGAGCATTGCAATCGGACTGAACCATAGGCTTGATGATATATATATAGTAGATTGCAAAGCACCAACTGTCTGACTGTTTGAAAATGAACAATAAAATTTAGACGATGCATTTTTAATAATTATTTTTCCGTCCAAGTTTCAGCCAATAGAATTGCATCATTCGACAAGGCTGCTCGGTATTATACTGAATATTTTTCGAATGATTTGTCTCTCCCCTATATACATGAAGCAAAAAACTGTTGGATCGTGTTAACTGACTGAAATTAAATGATTGAATTTAATGGTCTTATTCATCGAGTAAAATATCCTTTCTGGATACTCATTGTTTCGATTTTTATTACATAACATTTGACTGAACGAATGGTTTTTTGTTAAATATTGTTCTTCTTCACAGACGAACTTTTCTGTTTTCCCCGCTAGATTTCGAATTCATTGATCATACATTTCTTGCTATGCAAATTTCTAACATCGTTAACTAACTAAATTCGGTCGGCCTTTCACCGGAATAATTATCGGGAAATTCCGGCAGTGATCGTGACTCATCGGTCAACGGTCACCAGCCAAATCTTTTTACCAGGGAATATCAACCCCCCCTCATCATTCAGTTCATTTTCGACAGTTCATGCGAGAGTATCCCTATCTTTGAACTCATCAAAGAATATTCATGAGGATTTTGGCGAGGTTGAATCCGTGAATGTCAGAAGTGTCTGGGACAGAGTAGTCAGCCTGGAAAACGACTTCGAAAGATTGGTTTGAAGACTTGAGAGGGAAGCGATTGTTTTGAATTCTTTTCTGAATTCTGTGCGAGGAATGGATCCTTGTAGATTAATTTGCTGTTGTTGTTCTGTTGGTTGATACCACAGTTGAGTTCGTTGACAACGTTGACAGACATGATGTTGTTCAAGTTAACATTGGAGTGTGATTGGTCTTCCATCGTGGAGATGTTAGATCACCATGGCGGGAACGCCGACGAGATTAGGGCGACGCGTGGCCAGGGCACGGTCCACTTACGAGATAAACTGAGGATCGGTACTCATCTGACTGTAGATTCGGCAGCTCGAAGTGATCCAAACTGATGCTCACCAAGAGAATAAAAAAGCACACGGGAGGAAACAACTAAATTAGCAGGAATACCGTAGCTAGGTGCGCGCACTTAGAAATACGTTCATAAACGTTGAAGGCTTATGGCCGAAAGCAAATAATGAAAGTATTATAACAGGAGTACAGGCCGTCCAATTGGGGGACATCAGAGTGCTTGCAAATTTATCTGTTATCGGAGTTACTAGAGGGCTAACAGCGTCATTAAGAACAAATACCGCCGAAATTCAAACGCGGAAACTTTAGCCACCAAAGCTCGGATGAGCACTCCATTCAATTCGAATTGAAAGTTCTCCCAAGATGAGTGTGTGAATGGTTAAATTGATGAATGAATCCAAAAACCAGTGGTTAACAGAACACAGGTGTCACTTGTCTGTTTTATTTCTATTAAGTGAACTTGATCTTCTAAATTTAAGGGTAAAACAACAAAACTCGAAATTAAACGTTTTACGAGACAAAAGTTGGAGAAAATTTGAGGAGAGCAGCTGCTAGCAGAAAGCTTGAAGTGAGACTCACTTATCTGAACTTGAACTTCTAAGGATTGAGTACATTAATCCTCACTAGTCAAAAATTGCGCACGTAAACTAGTCCTGAAGGAAGGAGAAAAGTAGATGTGCTGAAGAATTGAGAAGTGGCGAAAAGGGGGAAAAGACGAAAGTGTGACGCCGCAATTTTTCTCTTAGAAGAACCCCATCAAAAGATGCTTACAAGATATTATAATTCCTATTATGATTCTGGATTATCTTCGTGATCAGAGAGGATTATGACAAATACCTCAGCATGGACATTTCTATAAGGATGGAAGATGAAATTGTATCACATATAACCACTGGATAAACCCTACACTGTCTTGAGTGTATTCTGAAACATTTCAAAGAAAAAAATCGATATAATAAGGAAACAAACAATACATTTGGCTACTAGTGCGGTAAGTCAGATATTTCTAAACGCACGTGCAACGCATACAATACTTCACAACCAAATTTTTAGGAATATAAAGAAGCATAAGGATTCGTGATGAGGAATATCTCTCTATGCCACGAGTCTTAATAGGTTCACATTGCAAGTAACGCCTTTTAAAACAGCCTTTCTGTTTATCTACCCGATGTGGTACCTGTAGCGGCTTTTTGTGCCAAGTTCAGGTTTTCCTCCGCGGAGAAGTCTTGATGAGGACACGTATGCTGCGGTTAAATCCATGAAGGTTGGAAGATGTGCTCGGGCATGTTGCTCGGGTTGGGAAGGTCTTTTTAGGTTCACCTTTCCAGTACGGACGCAAAGGCGACGAGAGACATCACTACGAATTGTTCATGTTGGGACATGCTCAAATGTTTGAATTCACATTTGGCTAATGGATTTTTTTTTTCGGTAAACGCCTGACCAATATGTGATCTACTAATGGTCCACGAGGAATAATTATCATTGAAATATTAATTTCTCGATTCATTCAAGTGGCCACGTTTTGTGTCATCTTTTTGTGTGTCCACTGTCTGTCATCGCACCAGCTTGTATTATATAGAATTTTTTAAAAATATTGGGGCCAACAAGACCGCTATGCCATTGTCATGGTGCTGAATAGCACAAAAGGTGGCGCATTAACAATCATAGCTCCCAACTCAATTGTTTCCCTGAAAAAGGTCTTCACAACCTTAATCAGAACGTCTAGATTGGTTTGATGCACGGACGTTAACCGTTCTCCCAGTGGTTTCAATTGAGACCTGAACTTTCTGAACCAGAAATGATGAGGTTATAAAGGAGATAGATATTTCCTTCATCTATGAGTGAAATTAGGTAATCCATTAAATGCAGGTATCCTCCAAATGCAGTAATAATTTTCTCGAAACCGTGCGGCAGTTAGGCAGTCCATGAACTAATCTAAACAGACGAGCTAATCTGACTTGCATGACTTTCCAATGATTCCAAACTAATTATGAAATCCACCTGACGTAGTGCATATAATAATGACTCAGCTTCCATGTTGATCCTTGAATGTTAAATTTTATTATTCTCGCATTAATCTAAAACGAAATTTTATTCACTTCAAAGAAAAGAGCGACATTGATGATTTATAATGTTAAACTTATTTATTCAGCCGATCTTTTTTTTAATAATAATAATCAGGCCACGAATCAGGAAAACTAGTGAACTCGTTTATTTACATTGAAAGTACTTTTTCCCCTAGTTAATTGGTGGGTAGCGTGTTACTGGACAAGGGCGTTGTAACAATTTCCAATTTAGGTAGCAAAAAGGGAATGGAATTCGTCCGTCTTTCCCTCGAAATTTATGTAACTGGCCTACGATCCATCAGTGACTGATTCGTTCGAAATCTTGTCCCGTATTTGAACTTTTCCACATATTTATTATATTTTAACTCTTTCCACCACAAAATATGCATGAGAAAATGTAAATAGTATATTACGCCACAAGTGCGTAATGATTTTTTTGGCTCGTGGGAGGGTTGTAACACAAGCCGTAGGCGAGTCAAAATCTATGGCATAAACACCATTTTATGGCATAGGTGCCCTGAATCATGCAATTCTAGTATCGCTTCGGTCGGCTGAATCGCGGATGCTCGGCGCTATGACATAAAATACTATACGAAACTCGTGCGTTATGGTCTCTTATGATTCGTACGATTGTGAAACTTACTTTCGGTTCGCTTTACCACTTCCCACAAGCAAAAAAATTCATTACGCACTATAGCTAGTGAAACGCATTTGAATTGATTTGACCGTAAATATGTATTCCGCAGGTCTCGATCCTGCAGGTCCCCTCTTCGAATCTCAGGATCCTCGAGCACGATTGGATGAGACAGATGCTAATTTTGTAGATGTGATACATAGCAACGGGGAGCAGTTAATCTTAGGGGGATTAGGTTCTTGGCAACCTATGGGAGACGTCGATTTTTATCCGAATGGAGGAAGAATGCAAAGTGGATGCTCAAATCTCTTTGTTGGTGCTGTGTCTGATATCATTTGGAGTAAGATATTGTTTATGAAACTATGCTATTTACATCCTAGTGGGAAGAAACAAATTACTGTTAACATGCTGTAGAAATGTGATTTTTATATTGTTTTATTTGTGATTATAACTTTGCATTTCAACCGATTTCATTTGTACTGAACTATCGAATCGATCTATAACAATTCTTTTTTTCAATTTACGCAGGAAACTTTTTTTGTAGATCATATTCGTAACCGATATTTTCCGGAAATTATTGGAGCGCGCAAAAAATTTGAGAGTAATCAAAATATAACAATTGACAGTCAATCATAATATGGAATGGGAATGTCTAATGCTACTGATAGTAAATTGCCCATTTTCAATTACTTTTCGATAAACTTGGTAGATTCTTTGCAAACACCACCTGCCTGTATAAATTTTCTTCATTGTCACTATTTTTTTATAACAATTGACGGGATTTCCATAACACAATTTTAAATCCCAATTTCTGTGTCAGTCGAAAGTCTAAAATACTTAGTAGAATATTCGGATTTAAATTTCAACGAGTCTGGTCGGTTGGAACAATCACATCAATAACTTCCCGGTTTTATTCATTGGTCTATCTTATTTTTATTATATACCCGTATCAATTCAATGCAAGATCTCATTGTACTCCAAGTCCTATCACGATAAATATTCATCTATAGACATATCTTGAAAAATGTCGAAACGTGTTGGAAAGATCTTGCACCGTCAAACGATAGAGATAATTTGATTTTATATTTCCGGGGTGATTACAATAACTTCTATATTCTGAGATGTTAAAAATGTCCAATTTCACGGCTTCCATGGGACGGAGATAAAAATTTATAGAAACTAGATTACTTTATCCCACTTTCTTTCAACATTCTGGAGAATCTTCTCAACATCCATTTTGTTTGTCAAACTAGCACATGAAGTGAAAATGAATGATAGTAAAATAATGCTTACGTAACGTATTACTCAACCTAAATTTACGTTCAAAGCAATAGATTTAGTTGCAAAAATCAATCCCTTTGATAGATCATAAACACTGTGAGAATGAATTACTTTTGAAAAGTTTTGCATAGAGCTTTTGGTTAGTTTACCGAAAAGTTTTTCAGTTTACTTATGGTAAATATGTTTTCAAAACTTATGAAAAGTAAGATTCATACTTTTCAAAAGTTTTTATAAAACTGAATAAAATACTCAGTCATAGTAATTTTCAGATCTTTCATCCGTAAGGAAGTCGCTGGGATGAAAGATTTCTGTTCATACTTTTTAAAAGTATTTTCCTCACTGATGAAAAGTAATCGATGCTTAGAGTGAAGAACCAACTATTTTTTTATTAATTATTATTTCTTTCAGCTGGATCCATCGAAGGCCGATCGCTTTGCAATCATCGCAGAGCTTATAAGCTTTTTACCGATTCTATCAGTCCAAAATGTCGTTTCCCAGCATTCCCTTGTGAAAAAGGGTACGATGGTTTACTTCAGGGCCATTGTTTCCCATGTGGTCAGGACCGTCCATGTGGAGACATGGGATACTACTCTGACTCTTCCAATGCACGTGGGCAATTATATCTTGTGACCAGAGAAGAAGAACCATTCTGTGCCCATCAGTACCAGATAAAACTTTACAACAGTCGCAGTGAAAGACCCACAAGGAGTTATGGTAAATTACAAGTTACACTTGTTGGTGCTGGTGGATTCAACGAAACTTTCACCATGACAAAAAAGGATGATGAAGAACTAATGGTTGGAGCAATACTTCATAAAATTGTCGTGCCTCATCCAGTTATTATTAATTTAGAAGTCATTGAGGTAATTATATCCCTCCATTTTACTGAATCATTTATCACTTAGTAAACATCAAACATTTCAACACTTTGCTGTAGCGAGCGAAAGAGAAAAAATGAACTCCAGCACGATCAATAGATATATAAAAATCGTGTGAATCGAGTTCTCTATTTATTTTTAATCCATAATAGATGGACTGGGAAATATTACTTAGTTTAAAATTACTTATATAAATTTGCAAATAAATTGAACTTTTCACGACACCTCCTGTCACACTTTACTACCACTAATCATATTATAGAATTTACTATAGTATGTCTTGGTAGAAATCTCCTTCGTCTCGTGCCCTTCAAACGCCTAACCGTTTCACAACGTTGCCACATTCAACCACCAGTTCGCGAAAACCTCTCCACTTTTATACACTTCTTTCAGTATTATTATGAGTCCATATCAGAAAAAACAATACAAAATATACGTATCAACCTTATAATATCAATTTTCTAAATTTTTATGAATTTTAAACATGACATGCTATAAGACTCTGTACTTATATGCCCACAAAATATCGCTGAAAAATTCCTCCGATGATCCGAAAAATATGGAGACACGAAAAGTGGCACGTATTATCTAAATCAAACAAAGAGTGCTAAAGTGTAAAATAATCCGAATATTTGTAGATATCATCACTATCTGTAAATCGTATTTATCGGATATCATTGGGATCAGTTAAAGTCTTTATTTACTTATAATAAATCGTTGAATTATGGAAGGAGTTGATTCTCTCAGAAGAGTATTCTTAAGTACTGCATGAATATATATAATTAAAACCTCAACGCAATAGCACATCTGGTCCCAAATGTTGTGGAAGTACCTTAATGAATTTAATGAACGATTTCATTTTTCTCAGGTGAAATCATCATAACTTGTAAAAAATTAATTTTCATTCAATTTAAAATAATTTTAATAAAAAAAAATCTTTATTCCTTCAAGAAAAAGGCGACTATCTCAGAAACTAGGATCGACAACGTGAGCCCTTTTCATGGGGACGGCCACATTTTGTTTAATATACTAAGATAGAAAGATTTATGATAACTTCTAAATGTACAGCTTATATTGTCAGCTGCTACTCGCTGCCTTAGAATATTAGCCATGGATTGTTTTGATAATTCATCATTTCTATTATTTGATATTGTACACGTCGATCTTATTAAATGATTGAATGAATACAATCTTAGATTTAGGAAACGAAAATGAGAAAAGGAGAGTAGCAACCTAATGTATTTGGCCAGCTGTGAACTATATCCAGTGTACAATGCATCTTCAGGCTTCATTAGTATATTTCGTCAGTAGGTCGTTAGGAACTTTTTTGGCGATTGTGACTTGCAAATGCAATCGTCGAAAGTATTAATTAATGCTACAAGGGCTGAAAAGTATTTAGGAAACGCATTTCATCTGTTGTGATGATAAATGTTGGTGCAATGCTGTTTAGCATGCTTAGCATATGCTAATTTATGTTACGAAGCGCCACCAACCGAGTATTTTCATAGCCCTCGGGAGGTAAGTGAAAATTATAAACAATAAGCGGCCACTTACCTCCCTAAGGCAATAGAAGTACCAGAGCAGTAGAAGTGAGCGCAGGTCGAGTGGCGAACAATATTTTATGTTACTTGGCTCGCCTTAATCTCGTACTTTTATTATACTTTAATTATAAAAATCATGATTAAAAATTTCAAAATTAAATCGGTTCTGAACTCAAATTATCGTGTCAGATGACTGACTCAATACGGAATATACGTGACAGAGTTTTGAAACATCGATAGTCTCGAGGTTTATCTTTTCTATAACAGGATTTTAGAATAGGACCTCCCTGGCACAATAGAAGTACTCAGTTGGTCGGGCCTTGTAACATAAACTCACATATGCCACATGAACTGAAAAGCATTTTAGCAACATATTTTATGACAATCCATGCCTTCGGCCTTCGATCTGGATTCTAATACAATACGTTCCCAAAATACTTTTCAGCCCTTAGCCTAATTTTCCATCTTTTCATGCAGTCCTTAGGCAGTGTTTTGCGATCGTGGAACGTGAAGATTTGCTCCCCTCACGACATGAATTGCCGATAACAATTCCCTAGTTTCTAAGGGAATCTTCGAGCTTGACGGTTTCAGTTCTGCATGGATACATCATCTGGCTTGGATATAGATTGTTTATAGATAACATAAGAGAGTTAATTTACCTTTTTCAATATAAATGAAATGATTTCTAGGTGAAATACACAGCCTATAGTGGATGGATATCTTCTGGTCTTGTTTCCTGGAGTATCGATAAGGTTTCCATCTTTGATAGCTTCGGTAAAAGCCTTTCAATCTGTCGCCGAGGGCTAATTCTCGAATCAGGGCATCCTGTACAACTTCCTTTGTTCTCCGGGGAGTGCAATATTCCTGAAGAATTGGATACTTTTTCTACTGACTCGACAGGAAACGCCACGAATTCCTCTTCAAGTACAACGAAAGCATCGAACGATTCTGAAGGAAATGGCGCAAGGAATAAAACTAATGGAATAGGTAAGATGAAATAATAGAAAAACGCCTTCAGTCTAATTAAAATAATTATTGTATGTATTAAATTCAGTTAGCATATAGTGGCGACGTTAACTGGTCAGTCTAACATTATATTGCACATTGAAATTTAGTGAAAATACAAAAGAAGTTGGACACAGTTGTAGGTGCACTTGATGTAGCAAGGAAATAATTTTTTATAATGATGCTACTTTTATACTTCTTTCAGAGTAGACTAATTGTTTTCGAGCTCGGTTTAGCAACAGAATTCCATGTCGTAACACGTGTTGAGGAAATATCGCTGTCTTTTATCGTAGGACATCTTCGTCATATTTCGGTGTAATTTAGACACGTTCGACCCGCTGATCTTACCATTCTCGCGGGAGCAAAGACTTACGCCCTGGCTCTCATAGTGTAAACCAAGTTAATTCGCTGTAAATAAATCGATTCTATTTAATACGTAAAATCGAGTGTTGTACGTTAATAAACCAATCCAACTAATACTGACCTTTAATTGGCGCTATTTTAGATCAGACCTTGAGAACCTCTGCTCTGAGAGCAAATCATCACTAATCATTAGATTAGTGCTTAATAAAGCCCGAGTCAAAATTTTTGTTGGTTTGTCGACTTAATTCCAACTTCGATTAGTCCGTTTGCGACGTTTAAATGACGTTGCGAATCGACGGACTTTCGACGTAAATATTGGGTTTTATTTCCAAATATCCCTCATTTTACGTTGAAAATCTATCGGAGCTCAACGGACACTCAACGGGCTTTCAACGTCAATTCTCCTTTTGCTGGGCACGGGGCCCATCCCACCCTCTACGATATCCCCCTCCCTTATAAATAATTAGAGTTGAATGAATTGCAAATTTTTATTAAAGAATAGAAGAAAGAAGTTATTAAAGAGTTACATTGAGTTAGTAATTATAAAAAATAATAAATCATTATTACATAAAAATTATGTGAAACATTGCAATAAAGTCAAAGCCAGTGGTAAATACGATAATCGGAAGACGCCGTTATGATAGTTGAGGGTACGTCGAAATCCCGAGTAGCAATTGAACGGGTTTTCGACGTCCGGCGACCATTACGTTGAGGTCGGTCGAAAGTACGTTGAAAAATGGGCGGAAAATTTCAACATCAAAGTGTGACGGTACGGGCAGCTAGAAGTACGTTGAAAAATCAACTAAAATTCTGACTCGGGAGGGTAGACGAGAGTCTATTCTCGCTGAAATCAACCGACATGGGGGTAACGTCAGAAAAAAGGAAAAGCGGAAAAATATGTCCAAGAGGAAAATTGGAAATTTTCCATGCCATGCTGTTGTTTATTTGAAAAACTGAAGTTATAAATTAAAGGTGGAAAAAGCCGGTTCAATTCTGACGCGAGGAACAAATTGGAGAATGTTATATTCCAGCAATTATGTGTTCATGACATAAAATTGATTTTCAGTAAAAATTATTCCTAAATTTTTCAGTTTATTAAGTGCTTACCTAAGTGTGAAGTGTATTGTATTGTTTATTACATTGATATTACAAATGTTCTCTTTTGTTTTACATCGGTATATACCCCTTTCCTCTTTCCTTTAGTTAATATAAGATAAACCATATATATGTAAAACTTTTTCCTCTCGTATACCCTTTCGGGTCTTTACGATTTGTTCCCTTCCCACCCCCCAAACCCCCTGTACCGCATTTGCCGAAGGGAGGGAAAAACCTCATTCGAGGGGAAAAACCTCATTCGAGGGGAAAAACCTGCCCTGGTACAGTCGTTCTTTTGACAGGACTACCGCTCGACAGTGAAACTGCGAGATTAGAGCGCTATAAATTTTGACCGCCGGTGCCCGGGATCGAACCTGGATCGTTGGCATGCTAGTACGCTAACCGCACGGCCACTACCGTCGGTGTCATATATATGTATATATTTAATATACTTAATAACATTTTAATAACATTTTATATCTTATATCTATTTCAGTTTCTCTTTTAGTCCTCTCTCCTTTCCTCCTCCATTTCCCTCACTTTTTTCTCTATCTTTCCTAGCGTTCCACATACCTTTCTATCCGTCTGTCCCCTCAGCATTTCCACCATTCTCTCTCTCCATGCTCGGTCGCTGCTCTGTTGCCTCCACTGTTTCCACCAGCTCTCTTCTTCCTCTTCTAGCCTCCCCATTAGTACCCCGCAATTTATCACATGTTCCAGCACTTCCTTCTCTTTCTTACATGCTCTGCATGCGTCTTCTATCATCCCTGTTCTGTTGCCTCTTAGTGCGTTCCCGCATCTCCACCTTGCCCATATCATTTTCTCTTCTAGTTCTAGTTTCCCATCCTGCCAGTACCCTTCCATCCTTGCATTGTCCTTTATTTCCTTATAGTAGCTACAGTATCTTGATCTTTCAATTCTTTCCCAGTCCTTTTGTGCCTCTTGATCTCCCAAGATCTGTGTCATTTCTTGTATCCTCTCTATTGCTTCCTCGTTTTTATCGTTCCACAGCATTTCCAGGAACTGTCTATCCCCTAATTCTCTTAATTTCTTTACCTTCCCTTGTCCCCACCTTGTTGCCTCGCCGTTCTTAATTCCCCTTAGTTCTGCTCGCATACATCTCCTTGGCCATCTCTCTTTATCCATTTTATTCATTTTCACCAGGAATTTTGCCGCTCTTCTAAACGCTTCCACTTCCACGCTAGTGACTCCCGCTTCCATTCTCCATATGTAGTCTGGAGTGTTCCTCGTCAGTCCCATGCTTGTCTTTATGTGTCTCTTTTGTACCTTTTCCACTCCCTCCTGTCTCTTCCAGCCCCACAATTCCACTCCATATAGCCCCGCTGCCTTCACCGTCGTTCCCAAAAAGTATAACCTCCTACTCAAGTCCTTTATCCTTGCTCTCGTCATTTCTTCCCATGCCTTATTTGTCAATATCTGCGCCTTTCCTGCGAGCTTCGCCGTGTGCCTTGTGTGTCTGTTCCCTGTGGTGAACCAATACCCTAAATATTTAAATTCCTTTACTACCTCTATTTCCTCTCCTTTGTAATACCACTTTTCTGGTTTTCTCTTTCCTCCTCTCCTAAATACCATCACTTTTGTTTTTTCCGTGCTTACTTCCATCTTATTCTTATCCGACCATTTTTCCAGTGTCTTCAGCATCCCTCCTAACTCCTCCTCACTTTCTGCTATCAAGGCCGCGTCGTCCGCGTATAATAGCGTATAGACCTTTCCCCCCACCCTCGCATCAATCGCCATATTCCGCCTTCCTTCTTTTTCTCTAAATCCTCTACCAAGTCCTGAATGAAAATATTGAAGAGTAATGGGCTAAGCGGGCAGCCTTGTCTAACTCCTTTTCCTGTCATGAACTCTCCCGTCGTTCCTTTCCCTGTAATTACCCTGTTCTTAGTTTCCCCATATATTCGCCTTACTATCCTTAAAAATTTTCCCTCGATTCCTAACCTCCTCATTTTTTCGCACAGCTTTTCTCTGTCTACCTTATCGAATGCCGCCTCAAAATCGATGAACCCCACATACAGTTTTCCTTTTTTCTTCCTCAGCTTTTTTCCTATCATTGTGTTCAGAACAAATACCTGCTGCATTGTGCCTCTCTTTCTCCTGAATCCTGCCTGGGCTTCCGTCAGCTTTCCTTCCTCATCTAGCCATTTCCCTAGCCTCCTGGCCATTATTCCTGTCAGTACCTTATAACCTATATCTAGCAGCGATATTCCTCTATAATTTGCTTCTATATTCACATCTCCTTTCTTGTGAATGGGGAATATTGTGGCTAGCCGCCACCTATCTACGACTTCTTCCTTTTTCCATAATTCCTTCATAATTCTTCTGAACTCCTCTTTCCCTACCTCTGGTAAGTTTTTCCAGAATACCGCCGCTACTCCATCTCCGCCTGCCGCTTTCCCCTTCTTCAGCCTTTCTATCGCCCTCTTTAGTTCCCAAGCTGCCAATTCTTTATCCAGGTCCGAATCTCTTTCTTCCTCCTCTTCCCCTCTTTTATCTACTTCCCTTCCTCCCTTTTTTCTCTTCCCATTTTCTCTTACAGTCCCCCTCTGTCCCTGCTCCCTCTTGTACCTAGTCTCGTTTTCCTCTTCTGAGCTCCCTCTTATTTCCTCTCCCTTCCCTCTCTCTTCTACCTCTTGTTTCGGTCTCTTTTCTCGTGCCCTTGTCTCTTCTTCTTCTAATAATTCCATGAAATGCGTTTTCCACTCTTCTTCCGTCACATAATTTCCCCCGTTTCTCCTACCTTTCCTAAACCAGTTTAATGCTTTCCAAGTTTTTGTCATTGTCCTACTTGTTGCTACTTCTTTTTGTTTTTTCTGTATTCACTCATAAATTAATCTCCCCCTTATCTCCCTCAGTTTTCTTTTTGCTATTTTTATTGTACTCCCCCTTATTTTTCCAACTTCTTGTTTTTCTGAATTTTTTCTGGCATTTGAACATCTTTTTTCTGTTCTTACTGTATTCTCCGTTGTCCCACTCTGCCCTTTTTTTCCTTGTTCCACCACTTTTCATTTTTGCTTTCTCTGCTGCCTCCACTGTTATCCTTAGTAGATTTTCCCATCTATGATTAGTCCCTTTGTCCTCTTGATTTTTATGTTTCCAAATCTACTGCCATTTTTCTCTGTACTTTTCCTCCCTTCCTTCTTTCCATCTCAGTCTATTCCCTCCCCCTCTCTCCTCTTCTTCTTCCACCCCTCTCATCTGTCCTCACTCCAGTCTATATACCACTGGCCGGTGATCCGATCCTTCTTGTTCCTCCACTTTCATTCCCTTAAACCATTTCGGCTCTTCCTCATCTTCCAGCCTCACTAGGACATAGTCCAGTGTGCTGCCCAACCCTGCCCCCTCTCCAATGAACGTAATTGCTCCCGTCTCGTCTCCTCTAGCTCTGCCGTTTTCCACTAAGAAAGCTGTCTCTTCACACCAGCCTATCAGCTTCCTTCCCTCTCCTCTCTCTGTTTTATCCTGTGCTATCCTTTCTCCTATTCTAACCTCTTCCTCCATTC